TCAAAACATCCACGCTTCTTGGCCTCTTGGTCCTTGTAAAAATATTTTTAAAAAATCCGCGCTTCTTGGCCTTTTGGTCCTTGTAAAAAATCTTTAAAAAATTCACGCTTATTGGCCTCTTGGTCCTTGTAAAAATATTTTTAAAAAATCCACGCTTCTTGGCCTTTTGGTCCTTGTAAAAAATCCTTAAAAAATCACGCTCTTTGGCCTCTTGGTCCTTGTAAAAATATTTTTAAAAAATCCACGCTTCTTAGCCTTTTGGTCCTTGTAAAAAAATCTTTAAAAAATTCACGCTCATTGGCCTCTTGGTCTTTGAAGGAATATCTTTAAAAAAAAAATCCACGCTTCTTGGCCTTTGGTCCTTGTAAAAAAATTTTTAAAATAATTCACGCTTATTGACTTCTTGGTTCTCGAAAAAATATCTTTAAAAAATCCACGCTTATTTTTCGCTTGATTCCTGTAAAAATATCTTCTAAAATTCACTCTTATTGGCCTCTTGGTCCTTGAAAATATGTCTTAAAAAATTCACGTTTATTGGCCTTATGGTTCTTGATAAAATATCTTTAAAAAAATCACGCTTATTGTTCTCTTGATCCCTGTAAAAACATCTTTAAAAAATCTACGCTTATTGGCCTCATGGTTTTTGAAAAAATATCTTCAAAAATTGACGCTTATTGGCCACTTGGTCCTTGTAAAAATATCTTTAAAAAATCCACGCTCATTGGACTCTTTAAAAATAAATAAAAAAAATCTTAGGATGTTGTCGGATGTTGATAGTCTTTAGATAAATATTCTGAGAAAAGACACGTTAATGATTTCTAAGACGTTTACGATCACGCGGCTGATAATCCTGAATAATATCTTTATAAAATCCTACAATCTTCAACGTTTAACCTATTTCTTATTATTTGAAATTGCTATTCACTACCACAATTATAGTCCACAATCCAATTTTGGTTGCAAATTATAATAGATTTCCAATATTTTGTAATTGATTCCTTTCTAAAGAAATCCATTATCTTTTGCTAAAAACAAATTATAATTGTTTTTCCAAATACAGAGGAAAAGCTAAACGGTGAACCAACACAAACTAGCTGACATCAAGACAATTTGCTGCATTTATTTAAACAAACAATTCCTTTCACTTTGCCATTAAAACCATTCACTAATTGCCCTGGAATCATAGGACAACAACGTTCGCCAGCAAAAGGTTTGCTTTACTTAACTTGGTTTAGAAACTTGGTTAGGTTTGTTCAGTTGCTGTGGATGGCAGCAGATTTATTGCCACTACATGGAGATCATTAACTTTTATTGCAACAGCAGCAGTAGGAACAACACAAATATGACTTTACCAAGAAGGAGATAGTATTTACACAATCCAATTATAACAATAAATAATCCTCCCAGGTGCAATTATAGCTGGCTAGCTGCAGCCTTTACTCCACATTTGATCATATCCAGTGTGGCAGTGGCAAAATCAAAGTAAAATATGCAAACAAACAAAAGAACCTGGAGACACTGCAACAAAAATGAAAACAACTCAGCAGCAACAGCAAACATCAGCATCATAATATGCCTATTAAATGTAAAAAAAACACTTGAGAAAATAGCCTTACGTGGTAACCGCCAGCTAGGGAGCTCGACTAGATATCAGCCGCGTGCTTCAACTAAGTGCTGAAGAAAGCTAACATGAGTACACAGAAAACATGGGGGCAAACAACACAAATCCCTCTTCAATTAAATACAAAAGAAAACACCTGCTCCCGATTCATGTACGAGTACAATGAAAATCACGATCAGATCGTGTTGTTATTGAAAAAAAAAAACTAGCACAAACATACCGCCAGCGGATGGAGTGTGTCATGTATAGATCGGAAGAAATCAATGCCAACAGAACAGCATGTGTAAATATTGGATAATAATGTAGAGGACATGCAGCATATAACAATATTTGACAAAGGCTTTTCATAACACAGTAGCAATAATTATGTGGCAGATTTTTTTAAAATGAACTAGCAAAGATAAATCTTGTTTTTTCAAATATTTTTCCAATAACTTTGGTGCTCTATTTACATAAGAACTATAATCGTAGAATGCCCAAAGATTATTTTCAATTATTCAGAATAAATAAAAGCGGAATAAAAGCAAATTTTTTTAAGGCCTCTCAACATCTTTTGCGAGGACTCTAGCGTATCTTAAAGACTATTTTTCAGCAATAATCTTGGATTTTTAAAATGAATATCAGCAGAAGTTGACGGATCTTTTCACCAGGTCAGGTTTAATAGGTCAAAACGAACCTCATCGAAATAACGGTTTTAGACCCGAAGTCTCTTTAGGCCAAATCCGTTTCAGGACATTTGGATTCGATCTAGCCATGTCCGTCCGTCTGTCTGTCTGGCTTACTCACGAAGTGAGTGTCCGATTTGATCCAAACTTGGTACATCGTAATATTATTATCAAAATAAGATCGAGTTCGGAGATGGGCAATATCGGTCTACTCCTTCTGGTCGAAATTTTCAAAGAAAATATTTTCTGCGAAGAAAGAGAAACAATAATCCGATCTTGCTCCAAATTTGCAATTTCTAATATTTCCATCTGCTGTAGGTCAGGTGCGTCATCAAGTACTTTCCCACGAAGGGTCAAGATTTAGAATATCTTTGAAGTTCATATGGCGCGAAATTAACATCCGATTCCATTCACACTTGGTACATCTCAATATTTCTATCAGAACAAGATCTGCTTCAGGTGGGATCTCTACCACCATTCCTTCTGGTACCTCCCCCAAAAAGGGTCAAAGTTTTGAATAACCAAAACCATGCAGAAATCCGAAATAAGCATCCGTTTTTTTCATAATTCACACATCCAATTATTTCTACTAACACGAGATCTGCTGTGAAGATGGAATATATCGGTCCACTCTTTTTGGTACCTCCTCCACTCAGGGGTTTGAATATCCATTCAGCTTATAAATCGCGAAATTAACATCCGATTCCATTCGGACTTGCTACATCTGAATATTTCCATCAACACAAGATCCGTTATGGAGATGGTTGCGATCGGACCATTTCTTCTGGCACCTCCTAATAAAGGGTTCAAGTTTATGAAAAACAAAACGCTCAAAGAAAGCGAAATAAGCATCCAACTCTCTTTAAATTTAACATGAAGAAAGATTTGTGCACACCAATGTAGTCCAAACCTGGCATGTCGCAATATTTATATCATATTTATTTAGGTCCGATACGAAATGGACAATACTGGTACATTCTTTTGGAACCTACTCCATAGAAGTCAACAATTTGAATAATCATAACAGAAGTCAAAATATATTTGAATAATCGAACATTGGCTTAGGGCAAAATCGACTGATATTTTTTAACATGTAAGGATCGTAAGGATTTTTAAGAATAGTTATTAAAAAATAATTCTGCCGGTAATTGTAGAATTTTAAAAATCGAAGAGTTAAACAAGTGAAATAGCAGCTAATTTCGGCCGGACCGAACTTTTAATACCCTCCAGCATTTTTATAGGATCCTGTAAATGTTCCAAAAATTCCGTCGAAAAATGCCGTTCAAATGGAACCCGCTATATGGGGGCTATACGAAGACGTGGTACTGAATATATAATTTTTGTCATAGGATGTAACGAACTTTAAATACAAAATTTAAAACAATTCTGTTCTAAAAAATGTCGCTTAAATCATCTCAATAGCGATTATTGGGGGGCTATGCGATATCGCGGACCTATATAGGCAATTCTCTTCCAGGGGATAAAGTACTCAGAAGGAACTCGTTGTGTAGAATTTCAAACAATTCCATTGAGAAATGTGGCTAAAATCATCAAAGTACCGAATTTTGGAAGGTACCGTTATATGGGGCATACATCATGAACCGATGTAGCCAATCTTCGAACTTGACCTGGCCGCAAACAAAAGACACACCTGTGCAAAATTGTAGCTTCCTATCTTAATTCGTTTTGACTGTAGCGTGATTAGAGTACACCGACTTGGCTAAATTGTCTTAGAATTTTATGCTGATCAAGAATATATACTTTGTTAGGTCTAAAATTGTTATTTAGATGAGTTACATGCGGAATGACGAACTTAATATACCTCCATACTATTTATGGTTAACATTAATAGTCTATGCGTGCAAAAATCTTGAACTTTGAAGATAATTTTTTAGAAACTTTTAGTCCAACATTAATGGATTATTAAAGAATGTTTTCAAAGGCTAAATAACAATTTATATACCCTCAGCCATATGGCTACAGCGGGGATATATCATATGGTTAAAACGTGCCACCTCAAATAACGGCTTTAGAACCTAGGTCTTTCTGGACCAAATCCGTTTCATGACATTTTGAGTTAACGATGTCCGTTTACTTGGTTTAATCTTGGTACATTGTAATATTATTAAACATAGACCAAGTTCAGGAATGGGTAATATCGGACCACTTTCACTTCTTCTGATACCTCCCCAATGAGTCAAGTCAACATTTTAACGGAAAATCCTCTTCTATTGAGCTTACAATCTTGTCACTTGGGTAAAAAAGTTTTTTGTCGTAGAAGTTACTTCTATGGGTAGAATAACTTCTGGGGAGAATAACCCAGACAAAAAACAAGGGAACTGATGAGGATTGGTGGCTCTTTCCGAAACCTAGGTATTCCCTGCCTTACCCCTGGTAAACATTACCATCGTTCTCCACTAATAAATAAACGTTTTTTTATAAAAACAACAATAAAGGGATTAAGTCTGACCATTTTGTATGGGGACTATATGAAGACGTGGACCTACATGGCTCATTTTTTGACTTAAGATGTAGTATCCATTACAAACTTCAAATACCAAATTTGAAACGATTCTAACTTAATTGTCACCGATTAAAAAATGAATATTTATTACACAAATTAATTCCCCACAATCCAATTAACGCACTTAGTAAATTGTCCAATCATATTATACATAAAATTATTTCAAAACAATTAAAATTAATTCGCTTACCTGAACATTAAAATTGAAGAAATATTCTGGCCGCAACGGACATGGTAATCCACATTTACAGGTACCCGATGTCAGTAAGTAATCCTTGATTTGAAATGGTGAACGTAGTGTCACACCAGTTGGACTGTAACGAGAAGAAGAATAAGAAAAGGGGGGTGAAACAAAGTGAGAGACACAAATTAATAAAACATGAATGAGTCAAGAGTTAGGTTGTACAGAGCTAATAGAGTAAGAGGTACTTTGAATGGTTTTCATACCGCCCCTTCCATTGTGACATTGTGGGGTAGGACATTTCTAAAAAGGAATTTAAAAACAATTATTAACCATGTCCTACAACTGCACGGCAACGATGGGGGAGGCTAACAACAATAACAACAAGAATTTAAATTAATTTGTTTTGTTTTAACTCGTCGGTCGTCTGTCTGGCTGTGGGGGAGTGGGATGGCAACATGAGTGCTATAGCCTTAAAAGTAGGAATGAATGGAACCAAGCAGGTATGACGTTTATAGATTTAATACAGGAGATAAAGTCAGGCCAAAGCTTAAGGCGTTTTAAATTAAAAGTGGGTGGGGAGGAGCGGGAACGGTGGCAGTATGCAGCATTGTGGTGTAACAGCACGGAGACATGTTGTTTTGTACTAAACAGAATATTGTTGCTCTTATTTGCCACAAGCGATTTCTGCTGTACACCTTCCCTTTGCCATGTAGGTAGCATATCTACCCGTGTCCTTTTGTCTCAACTTTGACTGGATGTTTCCATTGAATTAATTACTTTGACATATGGAGGTTAATTAAGTCTCTGAGAGCCTAAACACACATACACACACACTAATAAACAATGACGTCAGCAGCATATCCCAAGTAGGCCTATGTTTATATGTCATTATTTTGTTTTCAGTCTGCTCAAGTGTTCTGTTATAGACAACAGCAACATAAAACAACAACCATTAAAAGTATTTGTTTTTGTATTTTCTTCTTGGCGTGTCTTTTCCTCCATGGCAGTTCAAGTTAAGAGGTGTGTTTAATTCCCGAGAAATGCCAATAAAAAGTAAATACCATGGATATAATATTTCACGTTGAACTCAAGTAATTTGTTACAATTAAACAATTCGAGTGAACTAAACAAATGGAAAATTAGATAAATTGAAAGCCAATTACATACAATTTGAATTGAAAATGCTACAATTTTAAATTAACAAGTTACGAAGTATCAGTCGCTCTAACCGACAGATCTCTACCCTCAGCCAATGTTCGATTATTTAAATATATTTTGACTTCTGTTATGATTATTCAAATGTTTGACCCTCTATGGAATAGATTCCGAAGAAAATGGCAAATATTATCCATTTCGTATCGGAATAATAATAAATAACATGTTAAAAAGCAGTTAGTTCGGCCGGGCCAAACTTTGAATACCCTCCACCATTTTGAAACTAATTTGGAAATTTAAAAAAAATAAAATCCTTAAAAAATTCTGTTAAATTTTAAAAATACCGAATATTGCCGTTATATTGGGGTCTATACGACGTGGACCTACATAGGCATTGTTTGTCATTAGCCATTACCATATTCAAATTCGAAACTTAAAATAAACGTTGAATAATGTAGCTTAAATCATCAAAATATCGTATATAGGGAGGTGCCGTTAAATTGGAACTGTGCGAAGACCTGGACCTGCATAGACAATTTTGTCACAGGATATAGCATCCATATTCTTGGATTTATAACAGCTATAATCGTGAAAGTTTTAAGAATTTTTAAAAACTATCACAGCTAGACTCGATTTTTGTGATTTTTTTACAATATTTTTTTCGGAAGGATGGGGATCACATTAGATTTTCTTACATTTCTCAAAAGATCTATAACTAATATATTATATTAACGATTATCGAATATCAGGATTTAAACATCGTGAATATAATCGACAATTTTTCAGAAGGAGTGGTCGGATATATCTTAAATAATAAAAAAAATATTTGGATCTGTGAAATTTGGAGATAATCGGATTCATACCGATATTGTCATTTTCGCACTGACACAAATATTGGGATTTTAAAATTTTCGACCTTTGAACTCGACATAAGTTTGACAAAAATATTACGATGTACGAAGTTTGGCCCAATTTGGATACTCCTTTCGAGAGTTATCGTGCTCACTAGCCAGCCAGACAGACAGACGGACGGACAGACATCGCTAAATCGACTTCAAATGTCCTTAAACGGATTTGTTCCAAAGATACCTAGGGTCTAAATCCGTTATTTCGGCTAGGCACGTTTTGATCTTATCAAATGATATAGGGTTGCCCATATTCGACGGATCCATCTGACAACGCCATAACTTTTGACAGAGATGTCACATCGCTTAATGACATACCGCGTTTGAAGCGTCAGTCCAAGCAGATTTTTACTATGAACCAATACACGCCACGCGAGCGCTCTGAAATTTACATTCAACAGAAGAAGTCAATTGTGAAAACTCAACGTGCTTTTAAAACTTAAAAAAATGTGAAAAGTGCGCCTTCTAAGAAAACCATTAAGAGTTTATACGAAACATTTTCGACTGGTAAGGCTCTTTCTAATCCGAAGAGGCCATATAAAAGTCTACCAAGGCGATCGGCCGAGAATATAGCTGCCGTACGAGCCAGTGTTGATAGGTCCCCAACAACATCCCAAAAACGCCGTTCTCAGCAGTTGGGCATGGCTCGGTCCACTTTACAACGGATTATTCGCATTGATTTACATTTGTTCCCGTACAAAATTCAATTGACGCAAAGAATGTTGCCTGCGGACAAGCCTCGTCGATTGGAATGGGCCCAAAGGTCCGTCGAATATGGGCAACCCTGTATATACCCTCTCTAGCTATATGGCAGTGATATAAAATCCAAAATTTTTATGTCTAGCAATCCCTAAAAATATTTCATAAGTCTCAATTTTAGGTCTAAGATTCCTTAAAAATGGCTATTAAATGGCTATTTAATTTAAATCTTTAGGTCCGAGAGTCCTTAAAAAGAATTCACGATTTTTATGTCTGAAAGTCCTAAAAATGCACGATTATCAAATGCAATAAAAACAAATATTCATGATTTGTAGGTCTGAGAATTACATGAATTACAGATATAAGCATCTCTGGAAAACATTATAATGATTACCTTTCAAGAACTCTAACAGACCTAGAATTAGTTAGTTGGTTTGAAAAGACTTAAAGTATAACATATTTAGGCGCGATTTGAAATAATACATTAAAATGATGCTAAAATCTGATTTTAAATCATAGATATTTTACTCAATTTTTTATAAAGAACTTTCAGAACCATAAATAGCATATTTTTTATGGATGTTGTTGAAGTTTTGTATGTTTTATTTATTTTGTATGAAGGACATTAAAACATGAAATCGTTGATTGTTTTTAGGAAATTGCTGTAAGAGCTCTAAAAATTATATATTGTACATCGCTGTAAACCCGACATCACTACAAGGTAGACTTACATTTTTATTTAAAAACACTGGTGATACGAAAAGAAATTTACATTTTTTAATTGCTAAATTTTCACACATTACCACCTTTGTTGGTGGATGGCCAACCAGCAAAAAGTTAATTAAAATGGAAAAATATTATTCGCAGCCAATCAAAACAAACAAACTGCTTTAGTACAGACACCAAAAATAAAAATCAAAATAAACAAAAACGAAAAATTATACAAAAGTTTCAAGGTGTTCTCCATCTCACCTGAACAATGAAAACATGAGGGGCGGGGTGATAATAAGTGATGACTGGTATCTATAGTTGGATGGTTGCCTGCCTGGCTGGCGTTACTGTTTTCTTTTTATTAAAATGTTAATAAATGCCAAGAAAACGTCTTGAACGGCGATAAGCAGAAGAAAAACCACATTAATATTTTTCTTTTCGCTTAGCAATGAGGATTTACAAAAGACAGTGCAGATTATCATTGTGTCAATGATGGGTAACAAGGTAGGAAGCAACGCAAGAAAGCTAGTCAGAGAGTCAGCCATCATTCGTTCATTGTCTGACTTTGCACGTCCGTCAGTAGTTGTTAGTTAAAGTTGCCATTTTTTGACCATGACTGAAATGGAATATTTTGACAATATTCCAATAATAATTGGCATCAACAAACGAAATGTTTATTGAGTCGTACATAAAGTCATAGAGCATATGAACAGTGGAGTAGATGGAGATTATATATGCTATTTAAAATTGTTTAAAGCTTTATATTTGAAAGAAAAACAAGTAAAAGTTCGGCCGGGCCAAACTTTTAATACCCTCCACCTTAGGGTAGAGGAAACATTAGAAGAAATGTGGCAAAAACCATTAAAATGCCGAATATCGGGAGGAACAGTTATATGGGGGCTATACCAAATCGTGGACCTATACATACAATGTTTCGCCACACGAACCCATTCTGGTCCACAAATACCAATTTTTAGACAAATCCGTGAAAAAATGTGGCAAAAATAATCGAAATACCGAATATCGGGAGGTACCTTTATATGGGGGCTATACCAAAATGTGGACCTATACATGCAATGTTTTGCCACACGTACAGGGACCTGTTATGACCTACAAATACCAATTTTTAGACAAATCAGTGAACAAATGTGTGGCAAAAACCATCAAAATACCGAATATCGGGAGGTACCGTTATATGGGGACTATACCAAATCGTGGACCCATACATGCAATTTTTCGCAGCCGGAGCTGGAACCCATTATGACCAACAAATACCAATTTTTAGACAAATCAGTGAGAAAATGTGGCAAAAACCATCAAAATACCAAATATCGGGAGGTACCGTTATATGGGGGCTATACCCAAATGTGCACCTATACATGCAAGGTTTTGCCACACGCACAGGGACTCGTTATGACCTACAAATACCAATTTTCAGACAAATCCGTTAAAAAATGTGGCAAAAATCATCAAATTACCGAATATCGGGAGGTACCGTTATATGGGGGCTATACCAAATAGTGGACCCATACATGCAATGTTTCGCCACCGGAGCTGGAACCCATTATGACCAACAAATACCAATTTTTAGACAAATCCGTGAAAAAATGTGGCAAAAATAATCAAAATACCGAATATCGGGAGGTAACTTTATATGGGG